AAGTGAACTTAGAGAAAGACAAATATCATATGACTTCACTCATACAAGGACTTATAGACACAGAACAGATGAACATAAGGGTAGAGAAGCAAAAATAATATAAAAGCAGGGAGGGGAACAAAACAGAAGAGACTCTTAAATATGGAGAACAAACAGAGGGTTACTGAAGGGGTTGTGGGAGGGGGGATGGGCTAAATGGGTAAGGGGCATTAAGGAATCTACTCCTGAAATCATTGTTGCACTATATGCTAACTAACTTGAATGTAAATTAATAAAAAAAGTATAAAAGCCTCTGTCCTGCCAAATATATGTATATATATATGCATATATATATGTGTGTGTATATATATATATATATATATATGTCTGGTTTGCATGATGGAACTGATCACATGTGTATGTCTCTGTGTCACTGGTACATCTTCTAAAACTTGAATATTAGAATGGAAATTATATATTAAAAGTAAAGTAATACTTAATATATTTTAATAGTTTTCTATTCAGGATATGCAAACTATTTCATTTTATTTTCAACTATTTCAGTTTTCAAAAGCTGAAAAGTTCCATCTCAGCTGGCCGACCTGAACACCATTATTATAATATTTACACAATAAAAATGGACAGGAACAGTCAAGAGCACAATGCCAATCCAAAACTGAGTTTAATCTGATCATCCTTCTTAGAATACTGGCCCTTTTTATTCTCTACTGAAACTTATTTTCAGTTATAAACCATGTTATTTCATCTTAGAATATAAATGTGCAGAGTAACACTGTATCTTGAGTGCAAAGATCTTCAGTCATCAGGACAAATCAGAGGTAATAACTGGTAAGCTTTCTCCTTGTTCAGGGATGGATGAGATCCCACCTCTGCATGGAACACCCAGGAAACTCACGACTTGTACATTCCACTGACAAGAATATTCTACCTCATACTGTTGTCACATTTTAGGGCATATCTTACATCCCAACTAGGATGGCAAGATTTTAAGCAACATGTAATAAACTCCTTAGTGTTTCAGTCCAGATCTTACATGGTGCTTTTTACAGAAAGAGCCTCAAAAACATGAGTAGCTTGACTGTTAACTTATGAGTGAAGAGAGAGGCATGTCGACACATCAGACATGCCCACTTTCTCACATGCTAACACTTTACGGTCACTTTCATAGTCAACAAAAATTAGAGTCCACAAGCTCAAGAAAGTCATATTTTGAAGTCACATTATTAGCCAAGGAATCCTCAAAGATTATCTCCTACTCACTGCTCATCTTTACTGAGTGGACAGACTCATGGATGCTAGTTACACCCTCCAAAGGGAACCCACACCTGTCTTTACATGCCACATGTTCCCTCCCTTAGGACTTGCCAGTACCTCTTTAATCAGATCTCTATAAAGTCAAGGGAGAAAGCTTTATGAACCATAACCTATTATTACACAGTTCCCAATATTACCATATGGATTTATTTCAGGAACAGAAATCTCACATTTGCCCCTTAGAGGTTTTTTTAGTTAATGCTAGGTCACGAGGGAAAATCTGGGGGAGAAATTCTCTGTTCTGCAGGGGTTCTTGCACTAAGTGTTGTGTCCTAAAGGAGAAACTGAGCAATGGTGTTACTACCCTCACTGGCGGAGCTGATGGAAGAATGCAGGCACTGGCCAGAACCTAGCAGCTCTCTGTCACCAGCTCTGGAAATGAGAGCACACTCCAGCCTAACACCCTAACATGTGCTTCAATCTGCAGTGGAAGGAAGAGAGAATCCTGGTCTGGAGACACACATACACGGGTCTGACTCAGACGAAGCGTCACTCATGGCCAATTTTGCTACATATAGGTTCTGACTTCAATCACTGACTGCTCTTACATTTTTGTGGCTTCTAGATGCCTACAGTGATTCTCATCCATGCCAAGCCACTGGGTTACAAGCCTGGCTTGTGTCCTGTGGTTGAACCTTGCATACTGGACTCACAAGCTACATCTTCCCTTTGGGCTCATAGCACCTGATAGACCTTAGCTATTTCCAGAGCTGACCCACTCCACCCTCCTGCCCTGCAGTGACCACATAGCAAGGGCACAAGTTGGGCCCAGGGACAGAGGGAAAGAACAACTTCAGGCTACACTGGATTTCCCCAAAGCAGCTCTCTTTAAGAACCTATGCTCAGGGGCGCCTGGGTGGCTCAGTCGGTTAAGCATCCGACTTCGGCTCAGGTCGTGATCTCACGGTCCGTGAGTTCAAGTCCCGCATCGGGCTCTGTGCTGACAGCTCAGAGACTGGAGCCTGCTTTGGATTCTGTGTCTCCCACTCTCTCTGCCCCTACCCTGCTCATGCTCTGTCTCTCCCTGTCTCAAAAATAAATACAACATTAAAAAAAATTTTTAAAAAGAACCTATGCTCAGAGGTGAAAAGAAGTTACCCAGAAGTTGTTCAACATTGATTGATCATGAGCACATCTAGAACAGACACTGTGAGGAAACATGAAAGAGAAGGAAGAAGAGACCCCCCCCTACGTAGGGACCTTACATGCTTTTAGTGGAGCAAACACCTTAGGTCTCATCACATGACAGTCTCATCAGGAGTCAGCAGGTACTGGACTCCTGAGCTGGGCCTCTGCTTGGTTCTTACAAGATACTACCACACTGGACGTCTGTCCTGCATCCAGAAGCCTGAGGAGGTTCTCAAGCTACAGTGTGCCATGCCACACGCCCCTGAGGGCCTAATTCAGTAGGTCTCAGGAATACCCATGCATCTGGGTTCTCCAAAGATCGATAAAGGCATCTGATGTGAAGACTGGCTCAAGTACTAAATATTTAGTATTTTGCAAACGTGACCTGCCAGCACTTGGTTTCTCTTTCCCTATTTGCTTCACTTCTTCTTCTCCCCCATTCTAATGCTGTAGTCAGGATTAAAATCCCTAGCCCTTTTTCATAATGAAAAGTACTAGATATAACTCAAGGAATGTCATGAAAAGTAAAGCAAATAAAAAGTGTTAGCATCTCGCTGCAGGTTAAAATGCAATGTAATGATGCAAATCTGATGGAATTTTTCTATAAATTCCCCTCAAATACTGAAAGCACACACCAAGAATAGAAAGGGTAGCAGAAGATTTGGTACCATGGGTAAAGATGATCGCCTGAAGCCACCAGCCTCCATGCCAACAGCTGCTTGGTCAAGCAAGCCCACGCAGGCTACTCTGGGCATTGTCAGAGTCAGGTAGAACATGATTAAGGGGTTTCACCATCTCCTCCAACATGCTGCCTGATCCACCACTTTCATGCACCACATTAAAATGGATTCCTCAAACCTGATCCTTGGGCGGGCATGTGCTAATACAAAGAAAGACTAGTACCTGCTATTTAGTATGTGCATGTGGCTTCCAATGCCCGTTAGGTGTACAACTCACTGAGTCTTCCAACAACCCAGGGAGGTAGGTATGGTAGTTTCCCCCACTTTACAAGTGAAGATCCTGAAGCACAGAGAAACTGAGTGACTTGCCCAAGGTCACAGAGCAGGGAGATGGTAGCACTGACTTTCAAACCCAGGTAGTCCAGCCCCAGAGCACACATTCTGAATTACAAAGGCTTCGATGGGTTTTATGTTATTTTCCAGCAAGACCTACAATCAAGTAAGTGGGTATTCTATCTGGGCAAATGATTTCCTTTTAATTAATTCTCTTAAGTGTTCACTCCTTACAAAAATGTACAACAGTTAGTGGTTCACCTTGGAAAACAGTTCCACGGGTGCCGCTATAGCCTTCTGTTCTGTCAAGTACTGCTCCCAAGACCAAGCTTCCTGTGCAGCCACTGAGGGGACTGGAAAAGAAAACACAGTGACTTTTCTTGAAACAATTAGTGACAAAAGAATAATATTTAATTGAAGATAAACCCAACAAGCAGGCTGATTAGTTAAATAAACAAATACATAAATAAAACCTGTATCTCTTACTTTCTGTGAGCATTTAGTAAAATCATCTAACAGTCCACCTACAGCTTCTCTTGTTTTTTTTTTTTTTATTTTTTTTTTAACGTTTATTTTATTTTTGAGACAGAGAGAGGCAGAGCATGAACAGGGGAGGGGCAGAGAGAGAGGGAGACACAGAATCTGAAACAGGGTCCAGGCTCCGAGCTGTCAGCACAGAGCCCGACGCAGGGCTCAAACTCACGGACCGTGAGATTGTGACCTGAGCAGAAGTCGGACGCTTAACCCATCGAGACACCCAGGCGCCCCAGCTTTTCCTGTTTTAGAGCAGGCCTGTGAATGTATCTCACCCTCAATAAAACCACTGATAAGCACGTAAAATGGGTAGCCTATTACTCTTCTCAAAGAAGAGTCAACAGCTACAGGTTTTCTACAGCATGATTTGGTCCATTTTAAGGTGAATGCCCTGAAAATATCTTTATAATCTCCTTTCATTTTCACACCTCTTTGTGGGGTGAAGATCGATAGGCACTACCTGTTGGAAGGCAAGGTGGAAATATATGCCAAACGCCTTAAAAATTATTTGTATGTCTTGAACCAGCAATTCTGCTTCCAGGAATCTGTCTTAATACGATTACAGCAAATATGCCCAAGGGGCAAACACAAGGTTTTTTTATACTAGGACTCCTCATAATAATGAAACATTGGAAACAAACCAAAGGTCCACCAAGAGAGGGCTAATTAAATGCATTGTGCAGACATGTCATTTTAACAATAAGCTATAATATTATAGAAGATTAATGGCAGAGAAAGACTATGTTAATGATACACTACTAGTGGGGGGAAATAAACAGCAGTTCAGAAAATGAAATGATCCTTTTTGGTAAAGTATGTAATGGAAATAAGACTAAAATTATGTAAATCAAAATCATAAATGAAGTCATCTTCAGCTGCCAGGATTACAGCTTCTTCCCAATTTATTCTGCACTTCGCTTCTCTGCTTTCCAAATTTTCTAGATCAATAGCTATCCAATGTAATTCAATAAAAATATATTTTTAAATAATAAAAATCTGCTGAAAAGGATTGATAATTGTTTTAAGTTTATATTCTATGTCCCAGTCATTCTCCCTCTAGGATTAACAAGCTAAGGAAGGAGTCATGATAACAGTTGATAGTAAATATACATCACAACATTATTACAGCAAAAACACAAAATAGTATTAATATGGGAGAAGGGTTAAATAGATTATAATACATATACATATATACATATGCACATGACCTACATATGATTATGAAGTTGTCAAAAAGTATATATTTTTTTTCAACGTTTATTTATTTTTGGGACAGAGAGAGACAGAGCATGAACGGGGGAGGGGCAGAGAGAGAGGGAGACACAGAATCGGAAACAGGCTCCAGGCTCCGAGCCATCAGCCCAGAGCCCGACGCGGGGCTCGAACTCACGGACCGCGAGATCGTGACCTGGCTGAAGTCGGACGCTTAACCGACTGCGCCACCCAGGCGCCCCAAAAAGTATATTTTTTAAGTAACAAAATGTCTTTAGAATTCTCTAGGTTAAGTAAAAACCAAAGTCAGGCCATAAGCCATAAAACATATTAATTATATTATCCTAAATTTTAAAATATAAATAATGACATATATTAAGACATTCATTTATTCAACATATTTATAAAGCACCTTCTTTGTGCTAGGCACTATGCATAGATATTTGTACACACACACAAACACACATGCATAGGAAAGCAATTGAAAAGAAACAGCAAAATATTCATAGTGGCTATATGTGGGCAGTGAGATTAACATAAATATTTTTCCTTGTTTGTTGCCTTCTACTGTTTTAAAATTCTCTGCAAATATTATTACCATGCACATACACACACATGCACACCCGCACACACAAACACACACTCATATGCACACATCCTGGAAAAGAGTGGTCAAAAATGCTATGTAAGCTTTAACATTTATCTTGCCGTAAAATGTTCCTGAAGAAGGTACAGATGGTAAAAGGTCAGAACTGCATGAGCACAGGTAGTGACAGGTGGTAAGATGCACCTCTAAGTCAAACATTTCAAACCTCTCAAGACAATAAAGCACCCTGATGGAATAACAAACATAAAAATCCGTCAAGTTGCATAGGAAGAATTCATGTAGACTTTTAATCACTTAAAAAATATTTGATGAGCCTTCCATTATGTAACAAGTGTGCTGTCTGCCAAAACAGAAATATAACCCAGTCCCTGGTCCAGTAGATGAAAAATAAACAATATATACTATTTATCCTTTGATATATACATATATATAATTGACAAAAAGGGAATAATTTAATCTCAGATTACAAAGAAAATACATCAATTCAGAATTTAAAAACAGACACAGAGTATGTATATACATTAGCATTTACTAGTTCTCAATCACAACACACTAATATGTCCTTGCTAAGAAATACACTTACTAAAGCATGAGAATTTTGAAAAGCATTTTAATCATCAAATAAGGCTAACAGAATCATCATCAATGGATTTTCTTGCTTTTTTTGAAAATAATGGGACATTACAGTGTGATTTCCATCAAGGAGCTTACAGTCTGTTCAACCATTATAGCACTTACAAGTTTACTGCCATCTCTACCACAATATGTGATATTTTATTTTTCTAAATAGAGAAAGCAATTTGACAAACCCTGAAGATTCCCTAGTAAGATTATTCAACATCTCTATTTTCACATAAGCACTTTACTACATTACAATTATATGCTTTACAAAAAAAATTACAGCAGTGTTGTCTCTAAAGCAAATATAGATACCTCATTTTCTACAACAGCTGTGTTCTTAAAAAGATTGTGTGTAATTTCTCAATTTAATCATATTTCCCATTGTTATATATCATCATTTCACCGGAAGTAAATCACATCTAAGATCTTCTTGTATGATCACATAAGTCTATAATAACCCTTTTAAATTTTATCAGAAAAAGAAAACATGATATCAAAAATAACAACTTTCAATGAATTAAATATTTCGTAAAGCAAGAGAACTACTCAGCAACACAGTGCCTGCCAGTGAGATGAAGAAATACCATGTTGGTCTGCTCCTGGGGGCCCACAGGCAGGCCTCGCATCATCACTGACTCTAGGCGACGTACACCAGCTGAAAGAAACGAGTTTGCTTACTTAGAATTAGCAGGTAAGCTCCTCAAAAGAAAGAATCTCACTGATCCTATCTATCACTGTGTCCCTGGGCTATAACCACGCTTGACCATAAATATTTGCTTAATGAATTAAAGGCTGCTGACATGATGCTTTTGGCTTTAAAAATGAATTCAAAGGTATCTATTGTGACCAACTCATTTCCCAGTTTCCTGGAGAGAAGAAACCAATTATGAAACAGCACTGCTGCAGGCACCAAATTTTCTTTATTTTTTATGTAACTTTCTTGAACATACTACAGATACGACATTCATTTTATAGAGTATTAGATATGCGCACAGGTTAGTAAATCCTAAATTTTATTTTTCACTATACACAGTGGCTACAGCAAAATGTTCCAATTATTACTCTTCTGCCAAACATTACTAATGTACAATATATATTTGATTGTACATTCCCTGTCACTTAATACACACCTATTATATGCCAAATGCCAAATTAGGGTGTGTGTGTGCATGCACATGTACATGACATAAGTGTATATGTGCGAATGTACATGTTTAGATTTATTCCTTATAATATTGAATATCAGATTTATAATCTCATTTTATAATTATACGAAACAGGCTTACAGAGGTCACACATCTGGAAGAATCTGAATTTAAACAGAATTTCTAGGGGCGCCTGGGTGGCGCAGTCGGTTAAGCGTCCGACTTCAGCCAGGTCACGATCTCGCGGTCCGTGAGTTCGAGCCCCGTGTCGGGCTCTGGGCTGAATGCTCGGAGCCTGGAGCCTGTTTCCGATTCTGTGTCTCCCTCTCTCTCTGCCCCTCCCCCGTTCATGCTCTGTCTCTCTCTGTCCCAAAAATGAATAAACGTTGAAAAAAAAATTAAAAAAAAAATAAATAAATAAACAGAATTTCTAGCCCATGCACTCCCATTATATAATATTGCTTCACTTTAGTATACACAGTGAAGACACAGCAGAAATGCCTATTAAATTAATAACTTTTGGGGGACTTAAGTGGCTCAGTTGGTTAAGTGTCTTACTCTTGATTTCAGCTCAGGTCATGATCTCACAGAGGTGAGATCTAGCCCCGTGTTGGACTCTGCACTGAGCGTGGAGCCTGCTTAATATTCTCTTCCTTCCTCTCCCTCTGCCCCTACCATGCTTGCTCTCTCTCTCTCTCCCTCAACAAATAAATAAAAATTTATTAACAAGTAACTTTTAAATTTAAAAACACCATAAAATTAAGTCCACAGGGAAATTAATAAGCTCACCCATTCATGGTGGCTTTGTAAAATTGACTAAAACTTTTGAAAGTCATGTTGACAATACATACAAGCATACCTGGGAGATATTGTACGTTCAGTTCCAGACCACCGTAATAAAGGAAATATTGCAATACAGCAGTCAAATGAACGTTTTGGTTTCCCAGTGTATACATAAGTTATGTTTATACTATACTGTAGTCTACTAGTGTGCAATAGCATTATGTCCTAAAAAACAATATTACATAATCTAATTTGAAAATATGTTATTGATTAAAAACTGCTGTCATCTGACCTTCCAGTGAGTCATAATCTTTTTGTTGGTAGAGGGTCTTGCCTCGATGTTGTGGCTACTGAGTGATCAGAGTGGTGGTTGCTGAAGGTTGCAGTGGCTGTGGCAGTTTCTTAAAATAAGACAATTAAGTTCACTACATTGATTGACTCTTCCTTTCAT